TACCTAAAAGTTAAAATTTATATAGAAATCAGAAATGGAACTTTGAAATAGAAATCTGTCCGAAATATTTGTATACTTAGGCGTGTTAACATAATCATCTATAACTGCTTGGTGCAAAGTTTAGAAATTAAGATATATATCGCTTAAAAGGTATGTTATGACTAAAGTATTTAATCTAAATTACGTTCATTGTAAGATTGCCAATTTAAAGTACACAACAACCGTAACCTTAATGACTCATACATAGTTTGTGTATTAAATAACACCTTAAATCAAAATACCATGTAAATTATTTTTATAAGGCTTGTTAACATATTACTATCAATTACTAGTTGCTTTATTAAACACGTACATGTACTTGGCAACCGTGAAATAGATAAACCAATTGTAAAAATAAAGCATATTTCATATTAATGGATATTTTACTACCCTTGAAAACACTTCAGTCAGATTTAACAAAAGCCATCGAGTCTTATCTTGTTTTAAGACTTTTTTAACAATTGATTAAGCAGGAGCCTAAAAGCACTTGTTTTTCCTATAGACTTCATCAATAAAGATAATATTTCAACGAAGATAATATAACAAAGAAAGTTAAGGGGTTTTAACGTTTATCTAATAAGATACGCATGGTGCTGGCATTGTTTATATGTCTATTGAATGTACCTATCAGGGTTTTTAATTACAGTAACATAGGATCATGTAGTGAAATCAATCATCATAAATTTTTTTTTTATGTGCATCTACATGCTATACAAAATCGTATCAACTCAAAGCAAATAACCATTTAATTGTTTAGACCTTAACGCGATGTTATTAAAGTTAAAAGGTAAAAGCTGTCAGTCTGTTTGATAGTAAGCTGAGTTTACTGTTATAAGTATGAAAACAAATATTTTTCGAAAGTTAATTGAAAATTATTATAATAATGATGATGTTGATGATGATGATGATGATACTCATGATGATGATTATGATAATGATGATGATAATAATAATTTCATGTGATACAAAAATGTATTGTTCCTATTCTGTCCAAACATGTATATAAAGCGATCTGAAACAGTTTTTTCTAATATCCGTTCATGTTGATGTGCATCGCTTGCGTTCGGAAAAGGAAAATGCAAAACAGATGCTAAATTAGTTTATGAAGGATTAAAATCTCGGATACAGTCCGGCACTGAAAATGTTATCACACATAACAGACACATTAATTGCTACTGTAATCTATACAAATCTAGAAGTTTATTTGTGTTTCGAATTACCTGTTTCTCGTTAATCTGTTACATAATGAAACAAATTCCGTCTGCTCTCTGAACTCAACTTTAACAAGAAAGATTAACTGTTATCACTGAATACCTATCCGTATCATTTGGTTTATATAAAACATGTAATTAAAACTTTCATGCAACTTGAATTTTGAATGATGTCAGTTTACACCCAGAATGTCCCATTTAGATAAAAAGAGAAGGTGTTATAATAATCCACGCTTGTGATATCTATATGCTGATGTAAGCATAAAAAAACAAATGGAAATAAAAACATGGTTGGAATTTATTTTATCGTGATATACCGAAGCAAGATTGTTTTTTGTTCTTTCAAATTAGAAATTGAAATACAATCATAAATGCATGCTTAGTTAAAAACACTCTACCCATCTGTAAATGTAAATGTCATAATAAAGATGTAACTACAAGTTTATAATTGGAATTCTAGCAATTCCGAAGAGGTTTCACACACAAAAGATAAAAAACATTTTCCTTGCTTATTTTTCGTGTTTTCCTTTATGTTTCTTTCTTTCTTTCTTTCTTTCTTTATTTTTTACTTATGTTTGTGTTTAAGGCAATCTATTGTACTTATATTAAATAAATATTTATGAATTCTTATTTTCTTTGAATATTTAAAAAGTCACGAGCCTTTGTTTAGGATTGAACTTGTTCCTAAGTTGTCAATAAATTCATACTTAATATAAAAAATATGAACAATTCAATAGGCCCTATTATAGTTCTGTTATATACTTTATATGAGCTTAGTTTCATATTACTAAGTCTTCCTAACTCAGACCACAGTTGCATCAATGTGTACGTTTATTGTATGATTGTTCCTTCAGAACAGTTTTTATAACATACAATGGAATCATAAATCAAAACAATTCATATTAAAATCATCAACGTACCAACACAATTAGCTGTTTTGTTTGCTGATAAAAATGATAGTTCGAGTGATTTGATATTGAACTCTTAGTCAGTGAATTTACATTTGAATATTTGAAATATTATTAAAATAATCATTTCAAATAGTTTGAAAACATATTATACACATCACATGCTTGTATAATGATTTATTCTATTAAACTGGTGGTCCGCGAAGCTTGATTTGAATTATGCATTAGATTTGTGGGCGGTTAACAGCGGTCTCGAAAATAGCATATTTAGTTAGTTACATGATAGTTCTTGTTTATTTCATCGCAGTAAAACATCGTTTCAAGTGATTTCTTAGAAGTACTTATCACATGTAATTTTTATTATCATTTTAAAGTTTTCTTTCAATATTTTGAATATTTATAATTCCATTTAACAGACATGATCTGGAAATTCAAAAAAATAAAAATATAAAAACACTTATGTTTTACAATGTATCTGATATGATACGATATTTTACATCTGTATTAAGTCTAGTCTTATGTTTGGAGGTTTATACATATGTAGCTATAGGTTTTATTTATAGTTATGTGTTTATATGTTTTTACATAGTTTGCTTTAACTCTTGCACAACAGGTGCATTGTGTTGCCGAGTCCGTATTTAAAACGTTTTTGAAATCTGTTTATGAACAAGAAATTATTTTTTGATTTTCAGAGACGAGAAAGCAGTTTGCTGCTATATTACTGCCTCTACATTTTTTACATTTTCCAGGAATGCATTCACTTAGATGAAAATAATGAATCGAAATATTGGTTGTATGATAATTCATGTGTGCATAACATATAACGATATAATTGATTCTATTAATTTAAAAAAACAACATGTTGATGTATATTTAAAACATTTTCTACTGACTGTATTGTACATGTACCATGTACTTAATATCATAGCTTTTTATTGTTGTTTTTTGGTTTTGTTTTTTTACATTTTTGCAGTTATTAGATTCTTTTACTTTTCACAATGAATTGCTTTGTATCACATTGCATGACAAATTTATAAAGGGAAATGCAAATTTACATTGATATACTATTAAAACAATCGCAGCCTTCTCTATTCCGCTTTAATGATATATTCAGGCAATTAAGAATCAGCGACATGTTCTCATTTGCATTTATTTCATTAGCAAGGTTTTTAAAAATACTGTGTAATGTTGTGACATTGTATTTTTAGTTCTGATATTTTATTTAAATAGCCCAGAATTGAAATACAATATGAGAATGTTAGTATTAAAGTCTGTTTATGCCCTAAAACAATGCTACCTAACGTACTTAAGATATATATAAGTTAAATTAACTTAACATAATTACAATGAAATTCTCTGAGTAAGAAAGTTCAACTGTATTGTTTTAAATGTTCACCATTGATTAAAATAATTCTTTTTCTTCATTTTTATGGATACACATTATTATACATTATCAGTTATATTAGTTCCTGACTAGGCGCTAACCGAGGATTTTATCAATTCTACGTTATTCTATTGCAAGGCTATATTTCCCGTAACTAATGCAAATTGACAGAAGGTAAAAAAGACACATCAACTTTAGAATTCCATCGAACCGTTCGAAAAAGACACACATTCAACTGCTATGCGAATGCTGCTCACGAAGTTATTATAGCGGTTTAATATTTTACAAAATTCACAAAAATTTGAATAATGAAATAAAGTAAACACACATTTTTTGTGTGTGTATTGAACCGTGTCACACATCTATAAATAGTCAATATACATGTATTACTGCACGCTGTACAATTGCCGTTGCGTATCAAGCAAGGGGACTCGTTACCATTTTTAATTGATAATGAATTTAAATAATTTAAAAAGGTTGTTATTTTTTCGGTTTTTCGTGAAAATATGTGGCATTTTATCACTTTTCGTGAAAATATATTCCATATTTCACTCAAACGAAAGAATATCCTCTTATTATTTTTCTGCTTTAAAGTTGTCACATCAACATAATAATCAACATATACTTAACAGAATTTACATTTAAGCCGGAATTCTGAGGGAGACACATCTATCATTTTGAGACATTTCTTTATAAATAGATTTGTGACCGGATGCCATACTGACCTAGTTGTATCTTTGAGCAAACCTGGTTCTTCTTTAAATCTAGAATATATACTTGTATATGATATGTTGCTTAGACTGAAAGGAATATGAACTTTAAAATCTTCTAAATTTATACTTGACCTTCAGTATTAAAATTATGTTTACATCTGTATTCCAATGTAAATCAAATCTAAGTTCTATAGACGTAATTAATTCATTGTACATTTAAGAAAAAATGTGTGTTTAAAAATAAGTCTAACAATAGATTTTAATAAATCAGAAAATTGCCTCGAAATTAAAGACAGCATGTCAGTAGTATAGAGTATGATGGTTCCGGGACACTTTGAAGCCTAAAAAAGTGTTTATCTATCAAACCAAAGGGTAAGACAGCTCGGCATAGCTTACCCATCAACCCAAAAAGTAAGACAGCTCGACATAAAACCCCATTTTATTGATTTAAGAACACCCTCAGGCCAAAATCCCCCCGGAACCATCATACTCTATACTACTCATAAATAGAATACTATAAGGCAGGCGGGAACCGACGAGTCCTTTTTTATAATTAAAATATATATAAATGAGTTTACAAAAACAAATATATGTTTAAAAGAACGAACATACACCGATAATGTAAATCCTCAATATGTTACAACAAAAAAACGGAAGATTAATGATAAAAGCCGCGTGTGCTTCATGCGGTAAATTGAAATCTAAGTTTGTAAAACAAGGCGGTTCAATAGATATTCATAAAGCTATGTTACCTTTGTTACCTAAAAAAGGTTTAACTCTTCCTGGATATAACTATTGCGGACCAGGTAACCCACTGGTTAATGGATCACCCGTTAATCAGTTAGATGAAGTATGTATGAATCATGACTATTGTTACGATAGTGGTCTAAGTAAAAGTGAGTGTGATAAGAAAATGTTATCTGATTTAAAGACAACTAAATCAAAAATCTATTGGTGAAAAACTAGCAAAAAATTTAGTAGTAAAGCCTGTTATAAATATGAAATATAAACTTGGTTTGGGGCAAACACGAAATTCAAAAAACGTAAGAAGGGGGCAAAGCATGATAAGCGCAACATGCGACTTACCCCCGAAGTAACATGGAACGTTAAATTAGCCAATGAATTACACAGACCCAATCAAACGGAAGTTTTCCAAAACGGAGAGTTATATGTAAATGATGTAGATGATACTTGGTCTGCTGATTTAGTTGATATGCAAGCCTTTTCTAAAGATAACAAAGGAATAAAATACTTATTAACAGTTATTGATGTGTTTAGCAAGTATGCTTGGGCTGTTCCGATAAAAAATAAAAAACTGGTGATTCTGTTACAGAGGCTTTTAATGAAATAGTTTCTGGTGGCAGAAAACCAGAGAATTTGTGGGTTGATGAAGGAAAGGAATTTTATAATAAAACTTTTCAATCATTCTTAGATAAAAATACAATAAACATGTACCACACATTTAATAAGGCAAAGCTGTGGTTATCGAACGTTTCAATAGATCCCTGAAGCGAATAATGTGGAAATACTTCACCTCTAATAATACTTATACTTATTTAAATGATTTACCAAAAATGTTAGAAAAATACAACAACACAAGACATAGTAGTATAAAAATGTCACCTAAACAAGCAAGCAAACAGTTAAATAAAGGTAATGTTTATTTTAATTTATATGGTGATTTAAAAGTATCAAAAAGTAAGGCTAAATTTAAGATTGGAGACCGTGTTCGTTTAAGTAAAATTAAGAGACATTTTGAAAAAGGATATACACCAAATTGGACAGAAGAAATATTTACAATTGATGGAATTCAAAATACAAACCCAAGAACATATACTATCAGGGATTTAAATAATGAGCTGGTCCAGGGTTCATTTTATGAACAAGAACTGATGCCAACTAAACAAGAAGTTTTTAGAATAGAAAAAGTTATAAAGCGTGACTATAAGAAAAAAACAAGCACTAGTTAAATGGAAAGGTTATTCTGATAAATTCAATAGTTGGATAAAGATGCCAAAAATAATAAATGCTGAAATAATATAATGAGTAAACAAATTGAAAATCTTGATGAACTAATAGATTATTTAACAAGACTTGCATCAGCATATAGAAAAAGTTATAAATTTTGTGGAAGGGTAAGCGTAGGACTTCAAATAACAGCAGGTATTTTAGGTTGTTCAACTGCACTTGCACTTATTCCCGCCATACTATATTTGTAGCTTTAGTAGGCTTTACCTTCAGTAGTTACTATATTAGCTAACAAACTCAAAGTTGGCAGAAAAAAAAACTATTTTAAAATTACATTATCAAAAAGTTAAACAATTAATTACTGAAGCACGGATTGGGAAGGTAACCTCCACAAGTTATGATGGACAGAAAGTTATCGAAGATATATCTTTACAAAACTATTAGAAATAGAAAAAGATACAAATTATACAACACCTTTGGAAATTTATATGAAAGAATATAAGCTAAATGGTTATAAAAGAAACCTCTTAAAAATATCTTTTATAGCTAGTGCGTTGTAAAAATGTTGAAGTTTTTTTCTTTAAGCATGTTATATAATGAATAGATTAAATAACAGTATGGATGCAAAATGCGATTTTTTTGCATATTATATACAAAAATCAGAACTCTTAAAATTACCAATATTATTTAATAAAGTTAGAAAGAATAGAAACATTTTAAGAGCCAATATTACTAAATTAACTAAAGAAAAAGTAAAAGAAAATATACGATTTAAATTAGAAACAATTATAGAGCCTTACCTTTTTAGAACAAAAAAACTTTATGAATGGAGTTGCGGTTGTTTATTTCCTGTAGAGGAAAATAGTGATATTTTATGCGATTGTCCAAGACCTAATCATAATAATTATCGTAATAACCCTAAACCGGTTATAGCAACTTATATACCTCCAAACGGAGATGGTGAAGATTCATATTATCCTTCAATTTATGCCGCATCTAAAGATCTTGGTGTCAATCCTGGTTTAATATCAATGTGCTGTAACAATTTAAACAGAGTAAAGACTGGAACAGCAAAATTTAATGGGCATATTTTTAAATATAAGTTTAGATATGCTTAAAGATATTTTCTAATACTAAAATGCTTAAAACTATTTTTTGTTCCATTATATAATAATATAATAGAATAAAAAATGAATAAACTAGCCTCGCAACTTAATCCTCGCGCTTTAAACTTTCTAAATATCGAGAATATAATTCAATACTATCGTTTAATTGTGTTTCAAAATCATCATATCCTTTTAAGGCGGCTTTGCATTTCTTACATATCTCTTTTAAATCGGTAATAACGTTGCATAAGCTAAATTGTTCTTTGTTATCATGACATTTAGCTATATTTATTTCGCTGCTATCAAGTATCTCCGTTAATATAGGAGTCATTCTTTCTTTATCTATACCGATTTCGACCTTCTTTTGTTTACAAGAGCTTATAATTTCTTCACAATAATTAATAGCTTTTTCTAACCCTTTTTTAAAGTCTTTATTCAATTCTATTTCTTCCTCATATCGTTTTGCTCTTAACACTTTGTTGATAAAGTAAAACTCATCGCTAATACTGTTAAAAAACAATTTACTATATAAGTTAATGTTATTGTATTCACCCATCTCTTTATATAATCTTATTTAGAAAAAAAAAGATTTCGTTTATTAAACGCACTACTTTATAATAAAAAGTTTCTTTATTTTGTTCTTCTTTTAAGATATAAGTTTAGATATGCGTAAAGATTGTGCTTAAAGATATTTTCTAATACTAAAATATAGATATGGAAATTGAGCGATCTCCAAATCAATATTTTAAGAAATTTGAAATTAAAATTTCATATAAATATGATCCGAAAAATCAACTTTATTTCACTTTAAAAGATGCTTCTGAATTACTTCAGTTAGAACTTCGCAATTTAAAAGGCATAAAAATAAATGTTCTTTTAAAAATAACTTTTGCGAAAATTAGTCAAGAAGATATAATTTACAAATCAGCTTATTTTCATTCAAAACCTTCAATTATCATAGATAAATCTGAATTAAATGACACTTTAAAACATGACTTTGATGAAATAATAAATAAGATTGGTAATTGGATTTCAGAAGGTAGTGGATGGAGAATAGAATCAGTTGATGCACATTATATCAACAGATATAAATACACACCTCTTTCTGCTTCAAGTTACTTTGAATTACCCAAAGAATTACAGAATGCAAAGAAAGGATTAATTAATATAAAAAATAAGGATAAAGAATGTTTTAGATGGTGTCATTTAGCTTATAAATTCCCTGTAACTACACATCCTGAAAGGGTTAGTAATTATAGAGGACATGTAGATGAATTAGATTATACTGAAATAAAATTCCCTGTCACAATAAATCAAGTACCCAAAATAGAAATTCGGAATAATATTTCATTTAATATATTTGGTTACGAAAACAAAAAAGTATTTCCGTTATACATATCCAGATATAATTATTCAGACAAGTGCGATATGTTATTACTTTCCAAAAGTAAAACAACGCATTATGTTTGGATAAAAGATTTTAATCGATTACTCTTTAACAAAACAAAACATGCCAATCGAAAACATTTCTGTAAATCCTGCCTACAATGCTTTTCCAAGGAAAGAATATTAAATGAACATAGGCCAAACTGTTTAGCTATTAATGGTACTCAAGCTATTACAATGCCAAAAAAGGGATCACAAGTTAAGTTCAAAAAATATCACAAACAATTATTGGCACCTTTTGTAATTTATGCTGATTTTGAGTCTATAACTCAAAAAGTAACTACTGCATTACCATCATCCAAATCCTCATTTACTGAACCATATCAAGAGCATATAGACTGTGGATATGGTTATAAATTGGTTTGTTGTTACGACGATAAACATACTAGACCAACTCAAGTTTACAGAGGACCAAATGCAGTTTATATAAATTTATTAAAGCTATTCTTAAGGAAGAGGAATATTGTATGGACACTTTGAAAGCATATTTTAACAAACCTTTAAAAATGACAAAAGAAGATGAGGCGTTATTCAAAAAGCAAACTTCTTGTAATATCTGCGGAAAAGAATATGAAAAAGATGATATTCGAGTTCGTGACCATTGCCATATAACGGGAAAATTTAGGGGAAGTGCTCACTCGGAGTGTAATATTAATTTTATACTGACACGCAAAATTCCTGTTATATTTCATAATTTAAGAGGTTATGATAGTCATTTTATTATGCAACAAATAGGAAAATTTGAAAAGAAAATTGATGTTATTCCTAACAATATGGAAAAATATATGGCATTTATGATAAGCAATTTGATTTTCATTGATAGTTTTCAATTTATGTCGCAGTCATTAGATAACTTAGTGAAAAATATTCCAGAATTTAAGTTTTTACCTCAAGAATTTGATGACTTACTGAATTATGATTTACTCAAAACAAAAGGCGTTTATCCATATGACTTCATGGATTCTTTTGAGAAATTTGAAGAAACAAAGTTACCCTCTCAAGAAGAATTTTATTCTGTTTTAAATGAGGCACATATATCTGACAGCGAGTACACCCATGCTAAAAATGTTTGGAAAAAATTTAAAATAAAAACAATGGGAGAATATCATGACCTATATTTGAAAACGGATGTTTTACTTTTAGCTGATGTTTTTGAAAATTTTAGAAAGACATGTTTGGAATACTACAAGCTTGACCCTTGTCACTATTTTAGCAGCCCAGGTTTAGCTTGGGATGCAATGTTGAAAATGACAGGAATAAAATTAGACTTAATTTCTGATATTGACATTCATCTTTTTATTGAAAAAGGTCAGAGAGGAGGAATAAGTTATATTGCTAATCGTTACAGCAAAGCAAACAATAAGTATATGAAAGATTATGATAAGGATTTACCATCTAAATGCATAATGTACTTAGATGCTAACAACCTCTACGGTTGGGCAATGAGCCAGCCTTTACCCTCTGGGAATTTTAAGTGGATCACTCAGAAACAATATAATAAATTAATCGCAAAAGGTAAAACAAACTTCATTATAGAATGCGACTTTGAATATCCGGATGAATTGCATGATCTTCATAATGATTATCCTTTAGCTCCTGAAAAGATTGTTATACCTGATGAATGGCTTTCAAAGTATAGTAATAACATTAAAAACAAATTTAATATAGGAAAAAGTAATGTACGTAAGCTTGTCCCAACTTTAATGAAAAAAGAAAACTACGTGACCCACCATAGAAATCTCGAACTATATGTTCAACTCGGGTTGAAAATAACAAAGATTCACAGAGTGTTGACTTTTGATGAAAGTCCTTGGTTGAAAGAATACATTGATTTCAACACGCAGAAAAGATCTCAAGCAAAGAATCCATTTGAAAAGGATTTTTTCAAACTAATGAATAATTCCGTTTTCGGCAAAACAATGGAAAATTTAAGAAAAAGAGTTAACATAAAATTAACTCATGATGAAAATGTGCTGTTGAAATACATAGCAAAACCTTCATTTAAATTTGCAACAATGTTTAACAAAAGCTTATATGGTATCAATAGAATAAAAGAAACATTATTATTGAATAGGCCAACCTATTTAGGAATGTGTATTCTTGACTTATCAAAATATTTAATGTATGATTTTCATTATAACTACATTTTAGAAAAGTACAATTACCAAAAATGTAAACTCCTTTTTACTGATACAGATTCGCTTTGTTATGAAATAGAAACAGAAGATGCTTATGCAGATTTTAATGAGGATAAAGACTTATTTGATAACAGTGATTATGATCCAGAATCAAAGTTTTATTTTGATGCAAATAAAAAAGTAATTGGAAAGTTTAAAGATGAAGCCGCTGGAATTCCTATAGTTGAATTTGTCGGACTTCGGTCTAAAATGTATTCATACTTATTAGAAAATGAAGTTAACGTTAAGAAATGCAAAGGCATAAAGAAAAGCGTTGTAAAGAAAAATATAGTACATAATAATTATAAGGAGGCATTGTTTGATTCAACTCAAAAATATCACGAATTTAAAGTTATTCGGTCAAATAAACACGATATATATTCTTATGTTGTAAATAAAATATCTTTGTCATGTTATGATGATAAAAGATATATTCTTGATAATGGCATCAATACTCTAGCTTATCAGGACAGTAGCTACGCCACTGTCTAGGACAAACTCCGTTAGGAGAAGGTATTAAGCTCCATAAATTGTTAATTGAATATTCTTTACATTTAAACCTTCGATAAAAATCTCATCATTTGTTTTAAATCTATCAGCATAGGTAATTGAAACTGATTCATTCCTTCTGTTGTTCTCTGTCTTATAACTCTGAAGAATTTTCGAGTTTCTATCTTTCAATAACAATCCACATTGTCCTTTGTTAACTTTTATCGCATCAATGATTACAATTAGCGTGCAATTTTGTTTAATTTCTACTTTATTTCCATTTTGAATTAAAGACTGACTTCTATTTATAACTATCCATTTAAATAATCCGCCATCTTCAGTATTTGATGACAGGAATAAAGGAGATTTCGGTTTTGTATAATGGAGATTTATTTTCTCATTTATATTATTAAAAATACCCATTTATATTAATTTGTTAGATAGAATCTTGCATAACTTCCAGCTTCAATAGTCCATTCTCTACAATTATTACTAATAAAAAATCTAATGATATCCCCTTTTTTAAATTTCTTTTTAAATTCATCATTGTACTGATACAATGAATCATCTTTTTTAGGAAAAATGCTATGATTACTTATGCCTTTTTCATCCTGCCAGACTATATTTATTAAACAACTACTATATTGAGTAGAGTAAACATTAACATTATCAAAGATCATATTTATTTCAATAACGTACTCTCCGTCCTCTAAAATTTCAAGTATGTCTTCTGATTTATTATCGGGATTTAATGCTATGAAATTTTTGTAATCTATAATCCTGCTAGCTATTATTCCGAACATTATGAAGAAATTTTTACTGCTCTCTATAGTTCTTGCTAATTGTTTATCTTCAAAATCAAAAACTTCCGTCATGAAACCCCCGACATTTCTAAAATGTTCACTCACATGCAGTTGTTTGTTATTATAATATCCGAAAAGAAACACTTCACGGCTTACTGTTGTAATTCTTTTTTCTAACTTTTTATATCCTTTCTTAAATTTAAGAATCACTTCAGCTAGATCATCGAGTCTCTTTGTAGTAACAACATCTAGATCATCGAGTCTCTTTGTTGTGCCTGTTTTTATTTCACCCAGAGACTCTCCCAAAGAATTTATATTTTTTTCAATTTCCGTAATTTTAGTGTCTAAAGTAATAATATTGTCTTCCAAGATTTTTGTTAAATCAAACAGTGATTTATAATTTTCACTATGGCGCTTATCAACACTATCAACTACATTTTGAAGTTGGCTTTTAAAATGTTCCATGGTCTTTTTAAGATCATCTAGTTTAAAATCTTGACCATCACTTCTTGTAGAAGCAGACTTTTCTAGCTCGGCTTTGTATTCAGCAAATTTACTTAAAAAGTTATCCAATAGGTCTTTATTTCTTTTCGCTGTTGCATCATTAAGGTTGTTTATTTCTGTCCTGATTTCTAATTTATACATATTCTTTAATTTGTTTTCAGCTTCGGTAATACTCTTTTTCAATTCATCGTGTTTAATCATATTTTCCGTTAATTCTTTTATCTGTTCTTGAACAATACTAATGTTTTTAGCTAATTCTTGTTTGGTGTGTTCATCTGATTCGTCGAGTGCTTTTGATATTTTTGATATTTCATCACCAATTATGATATGTAAATCAATTATTGTACGCGAATTCTGATCAAGGTCTTTTTTTAGTTGTTCGATATTATCGCGTTCAGTTTGTAGTAACTTCTGTATTTCTTTGATAGATTCAAGGTTATAATTTGAAACTAAATCTTGAACTTTTCTATAAACAAATCTCCTTGAAACTGCATCATTTGGTTTGTCAGGACTTCCTAAATTGATTATTTCATTGCCACCCATATCTAACGGTTTATTCATTTTATTGTTTTCTATTGAGTTTCTATTAAGATACGATTCCATTTCCTGTTTAAGTTTTTTAAATTGACTTATACTTGCATAGTCAGTCAGGTCAAGATCAAATTTGATCTTACTGATGCTTTCTGATTGGTTTCTTTGTTTAACATTATTAAAAATTCCCATTATATATAATTTATTCCTCCATTATCTCTTGTAATTTCCCCAGTAAAATTTCTTTTACAAAATTTGTTTGGTTTGTCAATATACAAGAAACTATATTTCTCCTTTGTTGCGTTTTGGTAAGAATCCCGATCAATTAATTGTTCCCTACAAATCATATCATTTTCACGTTTACTTGGACTGTCAAATAAAATATAATGTGAACAGTTAATCCGAATATCCTTTGGTGTTTTATAGTAAGACTGACTCAAATAGATAACACAGCAGTTCTTATGACGTCCTTGCATAAAGTATTTTGTTATTTCTTTTTGATCTTCGCAAATAAAATCATCAAATATTACTATATTTTGTTTTGATGAGTCAATATCATCAAGATCAATGATGTCTGAATTTGATAAGTATAGAATATCCTCTGGTTCTACTTTAATCTTTTTGGCAATTGCATTGAAAGAATCTATTAAGTCTCGATATTTTGATTGTTCCAAGTTTTTTGAATAGAGGTATAATTTATCATAATAAACTAATGGTTCCCTTAGCATGTGTATAAGAGTGTTTGTTTTACCTGATCCTGAACATCCACATATAAGCATTCTAAAACATGAGTCTGGCATATAGGAATATAATTGCTTAAAGTTATTATCAGATTTTCTATATTTTTCATAATTAGGAATTTCCATTATATATAACTAATCTTACATTATCTTACATTATCTTACATTATCTTACATTATCCTACATTATCATACATTATCTTACATTATTATATAAATGTTATCAAAACTAAAAGAAATGACAAAAAAAAAGATTGAATCTGAACAAAAAATTAAACATATACGTAATCAAATTACTGAAGATAAAATAAGAAAGGGTGCAAGCAGGGAAATGTATACAGAAATTTACAAACCAATCACTGAAACCTTAGAAGATCAAAAAGAAACATTGTCTAGTCAGTTAAAAGCATTGCCTGGTCTAAAAGACGAATTGGCATTACTTCCGAGGCGATTTGTTGAAAAGATACAAGAAGCTGAAGCTCTAAAATTGTTTGAAGAAGAAGCACCAGGAACATTACCCCCTCCAATTACAATTGAATCACCGCCTTCATTAGAGGAAGAAGATAATAGTAGAATATTTGAGGAAGAAGATAATAAGGGGAAAGAATTTAAAGTTAATTTAAATAAGCAGGTTGATCTAGATTTATTAGACGATATATATAACACACCACAGGAGGTTTTTGATTTTTATCATACTAAGTCCGATAATCCTAATGACAAAATGACTCGTGAAGAAATAATGGAAATAATTAATAATGCATCAGATGATATAAAAAAGTATAGTACGAAGGTAGCTGCATTAACGAGAAGGAAACATGCACTCACAACAAAAGAAAAAGAAACGAAAGAATTTTATCGCAGAAAAACAGATAATTATAAAAACTACAGAAATACATTAAAAGATATTCTTTCACAAGATAAATATATGGGAAAAGGTTTGAATAAAGGAATAAGGAATTCATATAAAGTTTCTCGAGATGGGCAATATGGTAATTTATCTATTAATCTACATAAACTGTATGGTCAAAATATATTAGTAGCGAAAGATAAGAACACTGGGAAAGAGGTAATGAACACAAAGGTAGATGATGATTTTATTGATTTAATAAATAAAAGATATGATAAAAAGAAAACATATTCCTTACATTCAAGAAAAATATTTCAGGATTTAACAGAAAAATCAAAACTACCATTTAACAAGAGATCTATGAAATTTAAAAAGGTAATAACAGGATCAGGCATTTGTGCTTGTGATCCAAACGAATTAATGAATGATTTAAAGTTAATTTGTGGTTCGATTGATGCTGGAAATAATAATCCAGAGTTAACAAATGAAGGCATTCGCATTATCGATTCATTATTAAAACTGAAGGTATTAAGTCCGGAACAACATGAAAAATTATATAAAAAGTACTTTATATAATGGAACAAAAAATTGTATTAAGTTCTGAAGTGGTTCGAAGTAATAATAATAATAATCAAAATACACCAAGTGAATTCACAGTAAGATTTAGTCGTCCTTTAGTTTTAGATAAAAATAAAAGATATATTGTTGGATTAGACTCAATAAATTCAATGACTTACTCTTGGCATAATATAAGTGATGAATATGATAATAAGAGAATTCGCTATAATAATGGTAAGGAATGGAAAGACATTTTCTTTACAAATGGTTCTTATTCTTACACAGATATCAATAATTACATAAGAGAAACATTAATAAGTAATAATGATTTCGATGGTGCTTCTGCCATAGCACCTATAAGTTTAGAATTTGATTTGAGTAGTTTTAAAATTCTAATATCACTTATGAATAATTATTCATTAGATTTTACACTGTCAGAATTTTGTAAACTTCTTGGTTTTAAAAAGAAAAAAGTAAATAAAACAGAATGGGGATCTTTAACACCAAATATAACTAATTCTGTGGATACAATTTATATTCATTGTGATCTGATTGATAATTCACTTGTTGATGGAGAATTTGGTGATGTGATATATGCATTGAGTACTGCGGATTTAACAAGAGCTTATCCTTTTACAAAAGAACCTATTAGGGTTGGTTATTCTGAAATTAATAGAAATATTATAAATTCGATAAGAATATATATTACAGATGTGTTTGGTAGAAAAATCAATTTTAATGAAGTAGAAACAAGTTTTACATTAATTATAAAAGAAATGTAAATTATATAATGCACAAAAAAGTATATGATGAAAATAGTGGAGTATATATTCATGTTGATAATTGGACGGGAGAAGGTATCTCCTCGCGTATCTTTGACACTTTATTTTCTTCTGTAGGTAAAAAAGTATTAGAAACTGTAGGTAAAACTGCTATTGAAAGTGGCGCCAAAAAGGTGGGATCTGAAGTCGGAAATTTAGCTGCTGATAAAATAACAGGTGTATTTAAAAAGAAGAAACA